CTGTTCCTATTAGTTTAACTTATGTATTTTAAATTTCACATATATGTGAGATCTGATCAAATTTGTCTTTCTGTATCTGGCTGATTTCACTTAACATAAAATCCTCCAGGTTCACCCAGGTTTTTTCTTATTTTTGTGTACATATTGCACAGTTTCTTTCCATCACCAGGACAGTTTTTATTATTTTTATGTACAGAAAACTCAAGTGTCCACTTGGCCAGTTTAATGGTGAGCTCTTTCACCTTTGCCTTTTCTAGCTTGGTGATGTGTGACACAGATGTTGGAGTGTGACAAGGATGACATTTGTCCTCCTTTAAATGTGACTTAGAAGAATCTGGTTCTGGACTTTTTGTGACTGGAGGATTTTGATTGCTGATTCAATCTCCTTAGTCACTATTGGTCTATTCAGATATTTTTATTTCTTCATCATTTGGCTTTTGTAAGTCGTGTATTTCTAAGAATTTGTTCATTTTGGGGTTATTCAATTTGTCGGCATATTAAGTTTTCATTGTAATCTCATATGATCCTTTGTATTTCTGTGGTGTCAGTTGTAATGACACTTCTTTTATTTATAGTTTTACTTATTTGTATCTCTCTCTTTCTTAATATTCTTACCTGAAATAGATATTAAATATTATTAATTCATGCTACTAAGGTTAGAATTCTCCCCACCTCTCTACTCCTAGCATTGTATTTGTTTCAGAAAGATAAATACTGGTGCACAGGCTATAAAAACAAGGAATACAGTTTCTTCTATTATAGAAATCTCAACATTATTTTTAGTTTTGAGAGAAAAATCCACAAAAGGCAATTACTGGAGTGACTTTTATAGCCTAACTACTTAAATTGCACTCTGGGTGCCAGCATGGTCAGGGTAAGGAGCTGGTACTAAATGAAGACTGTTCATCAAGATAAGCCAGGCTCAGAAAGACAAATATCGTTTGTTTTTGTTCCTATGCAGAATTTAGGCCTAAAAAATAATATGACTTGATTGTAAAAGGGGGACCATTTGTGGGGACCGATGGAAGGGAGGGAGAAGAGGGTGATTGATGGTGAATATGGTATATTATATATCTGTATGTGAAAATAGCACAATGAAACCCAGTAAAAACTGCTTAAAGGGGGAGGGGAGTTAAGAAAGAATAATGGGGGGGGCGTATTTGATTGAAGTACCTTATATGCCCATATGGAAATATTACAATTAATTTATGATAATAAAGGAAAAAAGAAATGAAGCAAACCTACCAAATCAGAGCCTGATTTTAATAAGGTCACTGGGCAATTTTCGTGCCCTTTAATGCTTGGGAAGTGATGATGCTAAAGGTCATCTGAGTGCTCCTGGAAGGTTTTGCTTGTGGAAGTTCTCTGAGTTACACTCTCCCATTTGGGGTAGCCAACTTCTCTACCAAGGGAATAGGGACCACAGGAATTTTCCTTTTATTCATCACTGTTGCATTGTCTTACACAAGAGTTTCTAGAGGGTTGATGTATATTAGTAAATTGGGAACATTGTTTACTTCTGGAAAATCTTGGTCCTCCCCTGCAATCTGAAGTGAGGCATCTGTTTAACAGTCTCCCAGGGATTCAAGCAAATACTCAAACTCGACAGACTAACTTGATGTGAATCGAATGTAAACACATACACAGTGAAATATCTGCAAGCATATTCATGAAACCTGTTTGTTTCAGTGATTAAATAACCTACATTTTTAATGCCTTTCCCCTATCTTTTGTTCAATGTTTGTCAACCCGGATTATAATAAAATTAGATAAATTAACTTTGGCCCAAGAATTCTGAACAAATTAGATATTTTTATAGAGTCTTAATTTTGAGACTTTGGAGGAGGAAGTTAGACAACATTTATTAGTGCATGTTATTGTCATAAAACATTGTGGAGGTGACTCACCAGTGACTCTCACTGACATTTCCTGACCTTTGTGGCTCTTTGGGCCGAGGAGTCAGACTAACTGGAGTGCTGACAAATGATGCAAAACTGACAGTGATTGTTCTCACTGAGATATAATTTACATACAGAGATTCATACAGCTGTTAAGCATTCACTTTAATGGCCTGAGATACATTTATACACCTGAATATTGGTGCCGCCCACATGTGATGTTTCTTCCATCCCGTAAGATTCCTTGTGCTGCTTTTCAGTCACCTTCTCTTGGCAAAGGCAACCATTACCTGATTTCTAGCACTGTAGCTTACTTTTGCCTATTTAGGGAACCATACAACTGGAATCATATTGTATGAATTCTTTGGTGAATAGAAATTTAAGGAAATTTAAACTTTATTCATTTTTTGGTATAACATGTTGTATTCATGAATATAATTTATTCATGTTCATTAGCTCATTATTTTTTGCTGCATAGCATTGCATTGTGTGAATACATCATGCACATAAAGTATTTTGATCAATTTCATCCCATCTATATTACTTTTTCTTTCCCCTCCCTTTTAATAGTTTTTAGTGTGTTTCATTGTGATATTTTCATATATATATGTATATATGACTTTTATAATATTTACTCCCTCATCACTTCTCCTTTTTCCTCCCCTTCCCACCCCGGGCACCCCTTTTAAAATCATGTCATACTATTAATTTTTACGTCTCTAGTCCACATCTGATGCTTTTGATAATATTAAAATTTTCTTGCAGTTTTGTAGCTAGTATATCTATATACTTGAAAAACTATTAACCTTTCTCTTACAATCTTTATAAATTCACTTGTCAGTTCTACTAGTGTTTTGTTAGATCCCAAATGCTTTTCTAAGTAGATAATTGTGTGTCTGAAAATAATGGCAATTTCACTTTTTCTCTTATAATTGCTACATCTTTTATTTCTCACTTTTGTCTGTTGGACTAGTTAGGGCTCTGCACACTTTTCAATAAAAGTGGTCTGAGAGTATACCTTTAACTACCCACTGACATGCGGGGAAAAGTGTTCAGTATTTCTCCACTAAGTATGATGTTTCCTGTAGACTTTTCTTAGGTTGTGCATTGTAGTCACTCTATCCTTCAACGTGTCCATCACAGTCATTTTCAAACCCTATTTGACACTTTGATATTTAGATAATCTCTCTGGAATTTCTTATGCTCGATGAAAAATCAAATTTTCTTGCTTCTCCTGTCTTGGGAGAAAGGTGGCAGATCTCCTTCAGCTTCTCAGTATGATTTCCAGCATTCTGGATTGCTGAGTATTTCTGTCTTCTTCTCTAACCCTTCCCTTGGATTTCTACTTTGGAGGCCTCTCTCCCCTCTGTACTGAAGATTGTGCTGCCTCCCAAGAGCTCCCCTCAGCTCTCCTGTGGGAGGGGACACCTTTGCATCTGGACAGGGGAGGCTGGGACGGTCTCCAGTCTGCCCTACACTGCTCCACACATTTCATGTAGCACCTGTCTACTCTGTGCCTTTCCTGTGCGCTCCTGGGGAAGAAACGCCAAGTGAGGATACTTCTCTTGATGACTGGGACTTCTTGGGATCCTAATCCACCACACCATTGTTGAGTGATTTTTCTTAAACTTTGGCAAAGCCCTCCTCTTCTAGGGAAGTTCCTTTCTACTAGGGATATAAGTAGTTTTTGGGTCTCTTGTGTTCTAGAAAGGGTAATAACTTCTGAACTTGTTTAGGTCTCACCAAGATTTAAGGAGACCATGGATTGTAGTTTTTCCATTATCTTTATTATGATTAAGTAGTGTCTTGCAACTTTTCACAGCCTAGCCAGAAATGAAGTCCTCAGGCTGATGTTTAGAAGATGTGAAAGCCATTTAACTGAGTTTATGAATCAAATAAAAAACAGTTTTTTTTTTCATTTTTCTTTTATTATTCATATGTGCATACAAAGCTTGGTTCATTTCTCCCCCCTGCCCCCACCCCCTCCCTTACCACCCACTCCGCCCCCTCCCTCTACCCCCCCAAAACCCAGCAGAAACTATTTTGCCTTTATTTCTAATTTTGTTGTAGAGAGAGTATAAGCAATAATAGGAAGGAACAAGGGGTTTTGCTGGTTGAGATAAGGATAGCTATACAGGGCATTGACTCACATTGATTTCCTGTGCGTGTGTGTTACCTTCTAGGTTAATTCTTTTTGATCTCACCTTTTCTCTAGTTCCTGGTCCTCTTTTCCTATTGGCCTCAGTTCCTTTTAAGGTATCTGCTTTAGTTTCTCTGCGTTAAGGGCAACAAATGCTAGCTAGTTTTTTAGGTGTCTTACTTATCCTCACCCCTTCCTTGTGTGCTCTCGCTTTTATCATGTGCTCAAAGTCCAATCCCCTTGTTGTGTTTGCCCTTGATCTAATGTCCACATATGAGGGAGAACATACGATTTTTGGTCTTTTGGGCCAGGCTAACCTCACTCAGAATGATGTTCTCCAATTCCATCCATTTACCAGCGAATGATAACATTTCGTTCTTCTTCATGGCTGCATAAAATTCCATCGTGTATAGATACCACATTTTCTTAATCCATTCGTCAGTGCTGGGGCATCTTGGCTGAAAAAACAGTTCTTAATACTCTCACAAATTATGCCTCATTTTCTAAATTAAATCCTACCCCTCAGTTTTATCATACAAATATTTTTGCCAGATATCCTTGAGTATTTTTTAAATGCAAATTCATATTTAAAAGAATGTTTGCTAGCATTCAGATATTAAAAAGAATGTCAAAAGGTTCAACAGACTTTCCCACTGGAGAAATTCTAGTAAAAATTCTGAGCAAAAGTCAACATTTTAGGAAAAATGTATTCTTTTTCAGGATAATTATGAATTATGGCTTTAGCAACTGCTTCCCTGTTCCCAGTCATTGTGCTGTTATACTACTATATTTAAAAGCTCACTGTTTTAGACACATCTAAAAATAACTCTAAGGGTATTTACAAAGTTGATTTAAATTTAAATGCTTAATAGCTGAGTACCTGTATTTATCTAATATATTTAACTTTTTCTCTTTTTTCCTTTTAGGAATCCTAAAACCACAATATTAGATTGAAAGTAAGCATGGCTCACCGTATCAGGTTTTGCTGGATGGCTTTGGTCCTGCTTCTTCAGAATTCTGTTCTAGCTGAAGATGGGGAAATAAGATCAAGTAAGAACTGCTAGTGTTGTCTGTTTTTGTTACTCACGAATTGATTCTGGAAATCAAATTTTGGGACTTCCCTCAGTGGTTTTAAGGATCTCATTGTCTTTGACACATAGTTTCCTAAAATAAATGAGCTGGCAGATTGCTTAATAGCAGAGAGCTTCCCTCAGAGATTGATCTTGAGCGTAACTCTGTGGCAAGTAATTCATCCTCTAGTCCCATTTAGGCTCCTGCCAGTAGGCGTAAATCTGGACCTGTTGCGCGGCATGCATGTTTAGCGACTTCTGCAGCTGATCTGCAAATGTGGAGATAAAGCACCTGCCTCTATTGATGCTTATTAGGACTGATGAAGTGGTAAAACATGGACAATTACGCCGGCGGAACGGTGACATTGCAGGAAGTGGTGACCATTTTTCTGATTGCTTGCAAGAAATCTTGCTTTGGTGACAGAGAGCCTTGATGATTGGGGTTCTGCTGCCTGGGCCAAGATTTACTGATAGCATATGCTTTAAAAGATTGCTTATACTTTATTATGCTTAAAACTCATAAACATACACCTGTGTTATAAATAATAATAAGATGTCGATAATGGTTAAATCATATGACTCAACAACTTGATTCAATTTGCTTTTAAATTTACTAAACACTAATATTTAATGTGTGTATGGCCCTTATAGTTTAATCTACTCAAGCACTCTACAAGGTAGATACCTTTCTCTTTACTATTCTGGATGAAAAAAGAGACCTACAGAATTTAAGGGGCTTACACAGTGTCTTGCAGCTGGCCAGGACTGTAGCTAGCATTGAAACTGTGCTTTTGAGCTTTAATCCCATTCCTTTACTATGACACCATTCGTCTCTGCAAAGAGGAGACCTCTTGTGTTTTGTCTGGTGCTTATAAATGGCAGCACTTGCTTTTGTCACCGTGCTCTTGGCTAACCTGACAGTTATGAAATCCATGCTCTGTGGTTCTGTAACAGAGAGAGGGGTAGAAAGGGCCAAGAATAACCAACCCTGAGAATACAGTAACCACTGAGTCAGGTGCTGAACATTAGCAGGTTCAGACAACAGTGGGTCTCAGTATTCAGGAAGCGTCAACACTGCAAACACGACTTCCCTGTCCTTTTTTTCCTCCTCCAAAACGCCCCATAGGATAACCTTTCAGTCCCATCTAGCTTCAAAACTAACACATCCTCTCTTGGGTTTGTGAATTTGCTTCTAGGCAAATGATTCCACTCCTTCTGCCTGCCCTGCATGCTGGCAGTGGCGCTGGAGGAGGAGGAATCAGAAATTCTGTCCCTCATACCTTTTGAGGTCACCAACCAGTGCAGTTTAGCATCTTAGGAATGTCATAGTCACACTTACATTGTGTCACCAAATCTCGTGATTTTGTCTTTGAGTATGTGTGCGTGCCAGGATGGAACCCATGGCCCTGCGCATGCTAGGCTGGCACTCTACCACTGTGGTGCCAGGGATGGAACCCATGGCCCTGAGCATGCTAGGCTGGCACTCTACGCACTGAGCTAATACCTCAGCTTGTTTTATTTTATTTACTTTTTTGGGAAAATTTTTGGCTGTTTTCATCTAACAGTAGTGTTTATTTTTGACAGAGACTGTAATGAGTTAAGATAATTGTAAAAACTGGAGCCTTCATGTGATCCTTGTGAACATCCAGGTTTGAAAGTCTGTATAATAAACACAGATAAGGGAAGGGAAGGGAAAGTGAGAGCTTGAACTATTTCTAAAGAAATGCAAAAATAACTAAGAATACTAATTAATACTAACTTTCTTCAGTACCTACTTTATAATTATGATATCTTATTTGTTAATATTTACAGGAATTGTAAAAAACTGGAGCCTCTCATGTGATCCTTGTGAACATCAGGTTGAAAGTCTGTATAATATAAACACAGATAAGGGAGGGAAGGAAAGTGAGAGCTTTGAACTATTAATAAAGAAATGCAAAAATACTAAAGAATACTAATTAATACTAACTTTTCTTCAGTACCTACTTATAATTATGATATCTTATTTGTTAATATTTACAGGAAATAAATCTTTTTTACTTTAAATGGGACATCTGATCACGAGTTTTTTAAAAAGAGTGAAAAATTTGCTATTAACAGGTACTTTGACTTCCCATCTTACCTTTTCCAGCTTATCATCTCCAGGGAGGCGACTGTCTCAGGCTAAATGTGAGCAAAAAAAATGAATACAGAGTCAGGCCTTGAAGGATAGTGACTTTGCTATTTGTGTGCAGAGAGTAAGAAAGAGAAGGAAATGTAGGTGCCCATGGGTCTGCCATTCGCAGCTATCTTTAGTCTGTGATTGTCTCTTACTCTGGGCCTTTGCACTTTCTGTTCCTTCATTACACGGTCCTTTTCTTTTCTTAAAGTCGCAGGTGGCCTGTCAGCTCCCCTGAAACCTCTGTCACAATGAGGTCGGTACACCCTCTAAGTGTTCCCATAGTATCAGTAATTTCCTTTAAGGAGCCAGTTTTCTGTCTTACTAGAGTGAGCTCTTTGAGAAATCTTACGTACCTGTGACCGACCCCTATACTCAATACGATGTCAGGCACACAGTCGCCCTCCAGCGTCCATACGCTGAAAGGAAGGACTGGGGTTAGAGGCGTTCCAAGGTATCTGTACCAAAGACTGTATTGTTTTCTAATAGAACTCTAAGATGTGCGGAGAATACGGTTTTCCTGGTTATCTCTAACGGAGAATCTTTACCGGGAAGAGATAGCTTTGTCCAGATCCACTTAGCCCAAGTGACGTTTTGCTACATTACTGGCTGACAGTGAGTGATGAACAGAAGACCTTTAGAAGCTAATTTTCCCACGCAGTGAAAGTGTTGAGAGCTTTGTGATCTTGGCTCCAAGAACTTTATCAAGTACAAGCATGAATTTTATTGGCAAGCTGAGTGTTGAAAGTGCAGAAAATCTGTCTTAATTTCTTTCTCCTAATTCATTGATTTACATTTTTTCTATTTATATTCATTGTCTTACCATTTTTTTCTCCTTATTCACTGGTATACATTTTCTTCCTTATTCATTGTTTGCATTTTCCACCTTATTTCATTGATTTACATTTTCTCCTTATTCATTGATTTATATTTTTTATCATTATTCACTGGTTTACAATTTTCCTCCTCATGCATTGACTCACATTTTCTCTCTCTCATTGTCTTACATTTTTTTTCCTCCTTAGTCATTGATTTACGTTTGCTATTTCTATTCGTTGTCTTATTTTTTTTCAACTTATTATTGGTTTACACTTTCCTCCTCATTCAGTGGTTTGCATTTTCCCACCTTTTTCCTTGCTTTCACTGTCCCCTCCTCATTCAGTGTTTGCGTTTTTGTACACCCCTTCAGCGTCCCTCCGGCCCCTGTCTGCGACTAAAGTTGCAACCGCCTGTCCTTTCTCTGGCCCTGGCCCTAGGCTGCCGCACGGCCCACAGAGACCTGGTCTTCATCCTTGGACGGCTCCTACAGCGTGGGCCGGAGAACTTCGAAATCCTCAAGAAGTGGCTGGTCAACCTCACGGGCAACTTCGACATCGGGCCCAAGTTCACGCAGGTGGGCGTGGTGCAGTACAGCGACTACCCGGTGCTGGAGGTGCCGCTGGGCAGCCCGGCTCGGCGGTGCGCTGGCGGCCGCGGGCGCCCGTGCGCTACCTGGGCGGCAACACGCCGGGGCCGGGCCATCCGCTTCGCGCTCGACTACCTGTTCGCAGCAGTCCCCGCGCTTCCTCACCAAGGTGGCCGTCGTGCTGACCGACGGCAAGTCCCAGGACGAGGTCCAAGCGGCCGCCCAGGCGGCCCGCGACGGCGGGGTCAGCTGTTCGCCATCGGCGGGGCGCCGAGACCGAGGACGCCGAGCCTCAGGGCCACGCCAACAAGCCCGCGTCCACCTACGTGTTTACGTGGAGGACCTACAGGCCATCAGCAAGATCCGCGAGGTGAATGAAGCAGAACGTTCCTTCCTTTTGCTGCATTGGGATTTGAACTCAGGCCTTTGCTTGCCAGGTGATGCTCTAACAACTTGAGCCACTTCCCCAGCTCATGAACAATTGCTTTCCTATAAAATAGAAATCTGGAATATGCAATGTGTTTGTTACGTTTGTTTTCCTTTCAGTTGTACTACATCTATGGTGGCAATGGTAGAAAATGACAGCTCTCACAAAAATATGAAAAATGTATGAACCACACATGATCACGTAGTTCCTGCTGCTGAAATTTTGTTTTTCATTCCACTCTTTTCCCCTTTTTTGTGCCTTGAGTGTATCCGTCTGCCTGAAGCAGAGTACTAGAGCCCATGCAATTGATAGTTCTGCTTTTAGTTTTGGGAGGAACCTCCATGTTGATTTCTGTAGCAGTTGCACTAATTTATATTCCCACATCCTCACCAGCATTTGTTATTTGTACTTAGTGATAGCTGTTTTCACTGGGGCACTTTATTTTGGGGGGAAGTTTATATTTGATGCTATTGTTAATAGGATTATTTTCTTAACTTCTCTTTTGAATTGTTTGCTGGTAGTATGTAAAAACACAGCTGCCTTTTTATTAGCATACATTAATTGTACAAAATAATGGGTTTCATGATGACATTTTCATACAGTATGTAGAGTACTTTGATCATATTCACCTCCATTACCCTTTCTTGTCCTCCTTCCACTGGTCCCTTCCTCTTCCCAAATAGTCCCCTTCTATTTTCATGTCTTGAAAAAGAATCTAGACTCTGCATCTGAGAGAAAACATGCATTACTTGTCTTTCTGAATCTGGCTGATTTTGTTTAACAAAACGATCTTCAGTTCCACCTATTTCCCTGCAAACAACACAATTTCATTTCTTTATGGCTGAGGAATACTTCGTTGTGTGTGCACACCACACTTTCTTTATCCACTCCTCTGCAGATGGGCTCCAAAGCTGATTGATAGTTTGGCTGTTGTGAATAGGCTGGGGGGAACATGGGTGTGCCAGTGGCTCTGTCATAATCTGACTGCTTCCTTTGGGTCAGAGCCAGCACTGGTATACCTGGATCGTCTGTGCGCCATTGACTGTTGGGTATTTTATCCCATATCTTTGCCAACTTTATTTGCTCTAACAGTCTTTTCAGAGAGCACATGTGGTCTCTTTAAGGTTTTCTTTTTTATGTTATTTTAATTGCACAGATATGAGGTCTGTGTGACGGTTTGATGCATGTATCCAGTTTGGAATGATAGTCAGCACTTCTGCCCCTCTCAGCATTTAAGAGTGTCCTGAAGATGTAATAATTATACATACTTGTGGGATGCAATGATATATTTCAATGCATTATACAGTGATACTGACCAAATTAGGGTAATTAACACTTCCATCTCTCTTTTTTTGAGCTCCTTTCTTCTAGTTTTTGATGAAATATATACTAGGTGATAGTGAGCTAAGTCCCTCCACTGGGCTGCAGAACATTAGAACTTTCTCTGTGTTTGATACCCATTATTCAACCTCTTTCTGTCTTCTTTCTCTCTACCCTTCTGAAACTCTACTAATTACTGATGTACATTCAATTGCTTGGGTAGACATACATCAGATGAGTGGAGAACATAAGTCTGTGTTGGACTTATTACTCACGTTAACATAGTATTCCATTCCAGCCATTTTTAGATTTACATTTACTGGCACGTAATATTCCACAGTGTGTAATGTAGATTCCACGGTGTTCATATTAGATATAAATCTACTACACGTATGTAACACTATGCCACGATTTTTATGTATTCAGCCTGTGATGGACATCAGTGTTGATTCCATGTTAGCTATGCGAAGAGTCAGCAATAAACTCAGGCACGTGGGTGTTTCCTGTATTACTGATATCATCCTTTGGATTTACACATATTCAGAATGGGAAAACCAGAATCATATTGTAAGATCTGTTTTTAGGATTTTCTACATGTAAGGTCATTTGTCTGCAAACAAGATATTTTTACTTCTTCCCTTTTTCAATCCAAATGGCCTTTTGTATCTTTTGCTTGCCTATTTACTCTGCTATTTGAATAGAGCATTGAGACTGGATTTTAGTCTTGTGCCAGATCTTAGTGGAAAAGCTTTCAGTTTTCACCACTGAGAACAGTGTTACCCATGGACTTTTTATACTTGGTCTTTAGCATGTGTTCATATATTCCTTATGTGTTTATTTCATTGAGGTTCTTTGTCATGAAAGGTTGAATTTTTTCAAATGCTTCTCCTGCTTCTAAATAGATAAACGTACATGATTTTTGTCCTTTGTTTTGCTAATGTGGTATGTCTCTTGGATGGATTTTCATATGTTGAACCTTCTCTGCATCCCAGGAATAAATTCCACTGGGTCATGGTGTCTCATCCTTTTGTGATGTACTGTTGAGTTAAGTTTGTTAGCATTTGTCAAGGATTTTCACATCTATATTCATTTTTGATGTATTTTTCTGACTTTTGCAGGGGTCAGAAAACATAACATCATAATAAAAGTTTGGAAGTGTGCATTCAGTTTTTGGGAAAACATTAGGGATGATTGGGATTGATTCTTTTTGTTGTCATTGGTGGGAGTATGTTTGAACTCAGGCTTTAAGCTTTCAAAGCAGGCGCTCTACTGTTTGAGCCACACTTCCAGTCCAGGATTAATTCTTTAACTGTTTGAAAGAATCTCCCAGTGACACCATCTAGTCCTGAGCTTTACTGTGATGTTTCAATTACTGATTTAGTCTCCTTACTAGACATAGACTGGTTTACATTTGTTTTACTTTTGAGCTGGGAGTGTTGGTTCATGACTGTAGTCCCAGCACTTGTGAAACAGAGGCAGGAGAATCAAGAGTTCAAGGCTAGCCTGGCTGCACAGTGAGACCCTGACTCAAGAAACAAAACAAGCCGGTTGTGGGTGGCTCACACCTGTCATTCTAGCTACTCAGGAGGATCACGGTTCAAAGCTGGGCAAATAGTTCCGGAGACCCTATCTCAAAAAAACTTAAAAGAAAAGAAAAGAAAAAACAAAACAAAGAAAGAAAAAGAATAAGATTCAGTCTTCTCATGTTTTATTTTGGGGATTTATTTATTTTTGTAAGTAATTCAATGTTTCACATAGAGTTGTTCATAGCAGTCTCACATCTTTCCAGTTTCTGCTGTGTCAGTTATAATGTCTCTTCTTTCATTTCTGATTATATTTGAGGCCTCTCTTTTTGTCTCAGTTAATTTAGGTTGAGGATTTGCCAAGTTTTGTTAATTAAAAACCCTCTTGGTTTCACTGATTTTCTCGTTTTTCTATTCTCACTTTCATTTATTTCTGTTCTAGTCTTTTATGTCCTTCCTTCTACTAACCTTGTGGTTAGTTTAGTTCTCTTTCTATTTTTCTAGGTATTTGAAGTATAAATTTTATTTGAGATCTTTCTTTTTTAAAGGTAAGCATTTTTCACTATAAAATTGCTACTTAGTACCGTTTTGCTGAATTCAGTGAGTTTTAGTGTGTTGTGTTCTGGTTTCATTTGTCTACAGATATTTTCCAAACTCCCCTTTGATTTCTTCTTTGGTCCAGTAGTTGTTCACCTGTATGTTGTTGAATTTCCACATATACTGAGCTTTTGAATTCCCTCTGCTTTTAATTCTGAGAGTTTCATTCCACTGTGATTGGAAAATGCACTGGGATACTCTAAGTCTCCTTTTGTGATCTTATGTGTTTACCCTGGAGAATGTTTCATGTGCACTTGAGAAAAATGTGTGTTCTGCTGCCGAGGGACAGAATGCTCTAGAAGTGCCCTTCGGACATTTGGTCTCCGTGCTGTTCAGGTGCTTTATTTATTCACTGGTAATCTCTTTGGATGACGTAACCATCGACAGTGGTACATCGGAATCTCCCATGACTGCGCTGGTGTCAGTTTGCCCAATATTTGCTCCGTATTGGCACAGATGATGTTGGGTGTATGTACATTTATAACTGTCATGTTTTTCTGGTGAAGTCACCATTCAATCATGATATAATGTCCTGTGTTTCCTTGTAATAATTTTTGACCTAAAGCCAATTTTCTCACATATAGGTACAGCTGTCAGTTATGACTTGGTTATATATTTCACTGCATCCTCACTTTCCATCTAAGAATGACTCAGATTTGAAGTGATTCTCTTACAGACACACATAGTTGGAGCTTGTTTTTTAAAAATCTATTTAGCCTCTCTTTTGGATTGAACATTTACATTTAACATTATTTTTGTTAATTTTTTTCTGTCTGCCTTGCTATAAGCAATAATAGGAAGGAACAAGGGTTTTTGCTGGTTGAGATAAGGATAGCTATACAGGGCATTGACTCACATTGATTTCCTGTGCGTGGTGTTACCTTCTAGGTTAATTCTTTTTGATCTAACCTTTTCTCTAGTTCCTGGTCCCCTTTTCCTATTGGCCTCAGTTGCTTTTAAGGTATCTGCTTTAGTTTCTCTGCGTTAAGGGCAACAAATGCTAGCTAATTTTTTAGGTGTCTTACCTATCCTCACCCCTCCCTTGTGTGCTCTCGCTTTTATCATGTGCTCAAAGTCCAATCCCCTTGTTGTGTTTGCCCTTGATCTAATGTCCACATATGAGGGAGAACATACGATTTTTGGTCTTTTGGGCCAGGCTAACCTCACTCAGAATGATGTTCTCCAATTCCATCCATTTACCAGCGAATGATAACATTTCGTTCTTCTTCATGGCTGCATAAAATTCCATTGTGTATAGATACCACATTTTCTTAATCCATTCGTCAGTGTGGGGCATCTTGGCTGTTTCCATAACTTGGCTATTGTGAATAGTGCCGCAATAAACATGGGTGTGCAGGTGCCTCTGGAGTAACCTGTGTCACAGTCTTTTGGGTATATCCCCAAGAGTGGTATTGCTGGATCAAATGGTAGATCGATGTCTAGCTTTTTAAGTAGCCTCCAAATTTTTTTCCAGAGTGGTTGTACTAGTTTACATTCCCACCAACAGTGTAAGAGGGTTCCTTTTTCCCCGCATCCTCGCCAACACCTGTTGTTGGTGGTGTTGCTGATGATGGCTATTCTAACAGGGGTGAGGTGGAATCTTAGCGTGGTTTTAATTTGCATTTCCTTTATTGCTAGAGATGGTGAGCATTTTTTCATGTGTTTTTTGGCCATTTGAATTTCTTCTTTTGAGAAAGTTCTGTTTAGTTCACTTGCCCATTTCTTTATTGGTTCATTAGTTTTGGGAGAATTTAGTTTTTTAAGTTCCCTATATATTCTGGTTATCAGTCCTTTGTCTGTGTGTAGCTGGCAAATATTTTCTCCCACTCTGTGGGTGTTCTCTTCAGTTTAGAGACCATTTCTTTTGATGAACAGAAGCTTTTTAGTTTTATGAGGTCCCATTTATCTATGCTATCTCTTAGTTGCTGTGCTGCTGGGGTTTCATTGAGAAAGTTCTTACCTATACCTACTAACTCCAGAGTATTTCCTACTCTTTCCTGTATCAACTTTAGAGTTTGTGATATTAAGATCCTTGATCCATTTTGAGTTAATATTGGTATAGGGTGATATACATGGATCTAGTTTCAGTTTTTTGCAGACTGCTAACCAGTTTTCCCAGCAGTTTTTGTTGAAGAGGCTGCTATTTCTCCATGGTATATTTTTAGCTCCTTTGTCAAAGACAAGTTGGTTATAGTTGTGTGGCTTCATATCTGGGTCCTCTATTCTGTTCCACTGGTCTTCATGTCTGTTTTTGTGCCAGTACCATGCTGTTTTTATTGTTACTGCTTTGTAATATAGTTTGAAGTCAGGTATTGTGATACCTCCTGCATTGTTTTTTTGACTGAGTATTGCCTTGGCTATTCGTGGCCTCTTGTGTTTCCATATAAATTTCATGGTAGATTTTTCAATCTCTTTAATGAATGTCATTGGAATTTTGATGGGAATTGCATTAAACATGTAGATTACTTTGGGGAGTATCGACATTTTTACTATGTTGATTCTACCAATCCATGAGCATGGGAGATCTCTCCACTTTCTATAGTCTTCCTCAATCTCTTTCTTCATCTTTCACCACTTTGAATTCATCATCCCACTGTCTTCTGGCCTGCAAGCTTTCTGATAAGAAATCCAGTGTTGGTCTTGTGATGCTCTTCTGAATGTGATGAGTTGCTATTCTCGTGCTGTTTGCTGAGTTCACTCTCTCCTTGTCTTTGCTTTTTGTTAATTTGATTATG